TGCGACAACGAGGTCAACCCACTTCTATAAATCGAAAGGAGACTGCCACCATACCAGAGGCCACAACATCCTGGTCTTCATATATTCCCGAACGTTTTTTTTTCTCCGGGATGGACTTCAGTCCTGAACTCACTTGGGCCTCATCAGTATCCCTAGCGATATTCTAACTCTTTCGCTCATTGTTGCGAGATGTCACCACTTCGCTGACAAGCCTAGTCCTCTTTCAAATCGCATTTATTTCGAAATTACCAATTATACTAACATGTATTTACATTTCAATCAATAACTTTACTTATATTCGGTTTGACTATATCGAAGCTATATGTTGTTCTTGAATAAGTACTTGGGATTTGGGAGAAGCCTGATTTACTTTGAAAATTACTAACACTAGTCACTGTGTTGCGGAGTGGTAAGGCCATTGCTACACGCTTTTAACAGTCTCGTCTCTTGTTTGAGATTCTGTTCAAACACAGGAGAGTTCGAGACTTTAATCTGTCCTGGGTGTTAAAACTTTTAGGGAAGCAAGGCTGTATGAAATTCAGTGGCATCTAGAAGCCTACTCATAATTGCGAGAAAAACTTCGCTATCAATCCTTAACTTTCCGCAAGTGATTCATGATGACTATTAATGAGATAACCATGTGTTCGTATGGCCTATTTGCTCTATGCTCTTTCTCTCATTTAACAACTGTTTCTTCATTATTCTGATCAAATATTTTGAAAAATATTAAAGCATATTGTTATTGAATTTCTTGCCTTCCAGCTAGGATATCTTTCAGATTGAATTGGGTTGCCTATTATGAAGCTAAACTTTATCGATGAAGGTTTCATCTCATATAATATATACTAAAGGATTAAGTATTTGTGGTTAAGTCATCCTGAGGCTTCTATATTATTATGGTTATACTCATACTTGTTGTTAGGATAAACTGGAAATAATCCTTTTTTTAGAAAGTTAACTTTTTATACCGGAGGCCTCAATTTAGCAGTACGATTTTATCAAAATATTTGTAAGGCACTTTTGGGTGAGAAACTTATACGTTAATTTGCCTCTGAATTTACTGCTTCGCTGTAATGACGTCAGCCTGTCTATAGTACCAATTGGAATCAAGCTGTGTATACAACGCATTGTCATATAGGGCAATATCATTTTCTAATATATCACCATAGATTTATGTGAATGGTAGGATTATATCGATAGAGTATTTTATCATGTGATTTTTGATATTACATCGATGTTTATTTCATAAGTGTTACTTTTTTAAAATACATTCAATCCTTTCAAAAAATTAAATTCCCAATGATTTATTTCCATAGCCTAACACGCCTTAGCTAATCTTTTTGTAGGAGTTGCAACGTTGACTATACTAGATGCATAACGACAGTTTATCTCCCATCCATTGTATCTCTCACTTGACCCTACTTGATACAGTCCCGAAGTTTCTGCCTCTTCTGGCGAAGGCATTTGTCCCTCTCAATCCACCTCAAAGTTTCGTCGTCTGATGCCCATCAATGATGCAAATCTAGTCGACCTGACTTGGGCCATTCTCGGTCAAACAGGTAGTCCTGGCTGTATTCGACCAACACGTCTTCCATCTTCGCTGCGACACCCATCGTCAGAATGGCAGGGCCCTTCCGGCCTGACAGATCGGCTGAATAGTCTGTGTCGCACGATGCGGCAGCGCGGTGCAAGTTATCTCTTGGTGCATGCACTTGATGAGATCGCCTGGCTATTGGGCCTACGAGGGGGAGATCTAGAGCACTGTCCGGTATTCACAGCATACCTAGCTGTGTCAGCAACAGGTCAGCTTGATTGGTTTTTGCCGGAAGCCACACTTCGTGTCAGCCCTGCTGGGGGGGAGGAGGCAGTGGGCGCGGTTAGAGCCGCCTTAACTGCTAACGACCCACCGGGCAAGGTGAGACAGTTTTAGACTAAGTTTCATCTGCCGGCTCTTTTGATTAGCGATATACTGATTATATTCATTTTTTTAATTAGTGAGTATCGTGATTATGTTCTTTGTTGAGGAAGCGAAAAAAAACTGCGCTGGAAGTCATGCTGTCTCGATTGTTACACTAATTACCTTATCCCTATCACTATATTTGATTGCACATCGTTTCTTAACTTTCTGTTGATTATTTTCAGATACTCTTAGCGAGGTTAGACTTACGTGAAAATGAGATATGCTAAGGGGTCATCTGTATCTCTCGGTCGAGATTGGTTGTATTCTTTGACGTTGGAACCACTTTTTATGATCATCTTATCGATGTGTGTGGGTATTAGTTAAAGCATAATTATGATTTATTTTTATATAAAAATTGAGATAATATGATATTAGTTGCTTTGGGGATTATGGCTCTGTGGCACCCTACTTTTGAAAACTTTACGCACACTATTTGCATTGATGGTATAGGAATTACTAGTACGCATTTAATTAGGTATTATTATATATTATCCATTAGCACTGATTTTGAGAAAGTCAAGGATAGTAAGTACTTGATACTTTTCCTGTTTCTGATTAAGATGCTGGCTTATTTTAATGCCTATGCAATCTACTTATATATTGCTATTGATATTAGCTGCGTTTTCCCTCCATTTCTTGAATCGAGTATTTGTCAGTCCGCATTTTAATACACAAAACATCTTCGTGGTTTTCCACTAAATTAACTTGCATTTTATCTTCTCATGGTAAATCGAAGGTATGAAGATTGAGATGACACGGTCTTTATTTTTTCACAATCTCACTGTATATAATCGGTTTGACATCATTTTCTGACGCATAATTTTAGTATTGTCTAAATTTTTCCACCAATTGGATTGATATTATTGGATCATTTGAAGATTGAGATGACACGGTCTTTATTTTTTAGTATTGTCTTAATTTTTCCACCAACTCAATTGCCATTATTTGATTATTTCTCTCCTCCTCACTTGCATTTTATCTTCTCATAGTAAATCGAAGGTATGACGGTTGAGATGACACGGTCTTTATTGTTTCACGGTCTGACTGTATATAACCGGTTTGACATCCTTTTCTGATTTGGTCTTGTCAGAGCGACCCGCTTCGCCTCATCTGCCATAATAGCCCTGATACGTTCCAACGTAGGGCCAAGTATACGGTACTACGCTCTAAATTATCATGAGTTCTATTGCAGAGGACGCCGAACAAGCTGCGTTCATCGAGATCGTGTGCACACATGATCAGGTTGCTGAAACTAACTCAAATCAATTATACTTTCTTAGGCTGCCCCAATAAGCCTTTATTATCCCAGGCTTTTGGTTAGTAATATTATTGTAATGCCGATTTAACAGATATCAAGATTAACCTTATTTTGCTTATGGTGTGATGTATCGACTTTGACATACTGAGAGTAATAAACCAACCTTGCTGCTGTGGCTTAGTGACCTCATAATTAAAAAAATAACATCTTCCTGTTTAATTAGTTCTTTGGTTCTTCTATTCATCATAACCAAAAAATAATTTATTCTATTCATAGCGATGAATCCATAAGTATCAGATTTGGTTTATACTGATCTTGCCCTCTTAAGAGGTTCTTATAGAAGCTATATCACTTTATTTTTAGACTCATAAAGTTAATTGCTAGTCAACTTACTAGTTTAAGTTCTAATTTTCAATAGGTTTTGGAAAATACTAAATGATCACAATTTTTTTGTTGGACTCACATTTGGATTTATGTGTAAGATGACGAGATTCGAAGGTCGATTACACCAGGATACTGCAGAGCATTCCTCTTAGCCAGCCGTCTTTCGGCTTTATCGGAACATTCTTGTTGAAGTTTTATCAAGACACTCTATATTCCAGTGAAAACCTGCTGTACTCTTGCTTGTCAGATAAAGGCCATCTTCAGACTTGGGCATCGTTCTTATGGGCCAATTTGAGTCGTTTCAAGAAAATTCATCGGCTTATTCTTTTAGGCTGTACATATAGTCTAACATTTTGCATTTTTGTAAGGCGTTCGGTGAGTTGGTTAGTTCGTGTCATATGACGATCTAGATTTATATGCATATGCGTGCTCGTGTGTGTGCGTTCATGTTTACGTAGAGGTGCCAAACCAGTAATGTTAGCTCCACATGAATAGAACAGATCCTAGCCTCATCCTTCACTGACCATGACTTCAATTGCTTGATGCTGAACAGAATACTGGTTAATTTGATTGGCGTTTGTTTATCTGTGCATCAAATGTGTGTGTGCTTGCGCGTTAAATAAGACGTATTGAAAATGTGATCGTAATTTAAATTGAGACCAACAAAGAACTAATTGATTTGCCTCTACAGACAATTTTTTCCTGAGTGAGTAGGCTTTCGAGATTAGCAGTAAATCATATATATGAGTTGTGTTCACTCTATTTCGTCTAAGGTGGTGAAGGACTAATAATTGAATTTTCCTATAATGATATGAGTAGGGCTGATGCTTTCCATTGAGTTTCGCATAGCCTTGCTTTCCCAAAAGGTGTTCTCATCCAGGCTAAAATGGACTGCAGTTTTGACCCCGCATAGGTCTTATCAGCACCCCAAGTGGGAGTCAAACCATGACAGTGTGGCGTGTAAGCTCGACGCGTTAACTACTATGCAACATTGCCACGAGTGCCCTTGAGCCACTGGTAAGAACTTCAAGGAATGACAGACATTTTCCATATTACATTCTATAGACTATTTTATGGTTTTTTACCCTTTCTGGAATAGGGCCACAATAAAGCAACCACCTGAACATTTTTTTTACAGCAATCTGATCTTGATAATTAATCTATCTTCTCTATAATAGTGGATATAACTGAAAAACGTGACCGCTTCCACTTCATCGCTTTGCTTTCCTTTCCCCGGCTAAGCCTGGACATGATATTCCAAATCGAAAAATGCATTTTTTTAATCATTTTCTTATCTTCAATTAAGCATAGGCGATAATTTTTCTTAAGTAATATTTTTATAATCTTGGTAAGATCTCGTTTTCTCAACTTGGTCGGGTTGTCAGGGAGATCTTGTGAAAGGCACCTAGTCCTGTGTCCTCGGCAATAGTATTCGTGATTTTCGGCCCCGGACCATTGACTTGGTACATTCCCAAACGTTTCGCCGGCATCGTCAGTGAGAGATGCCATCATCAGCACAGAGTTGCAACTTATCTAAGTGACAAATGAAGACAATCCCCTTAACAAATTTTCTGTTCAACCGTTTTGGCATCACTCCTCGCCCATATTTTTTGTCCTACCTTCTAATTCTGCATCTCTTTCTATCACTCCCATTTCATATTGCCCATTTGCTTATTTACATTATTCTGTGCCCTCATTTCTTCCAATGTCGTCTAAAATTGTGTCGCTTCAATTAGATTTAGTGATGCATAATTAGCTTCACTACCGGTTTCAGATACCGTTTGCAGGACCTATAGCCCATGGCCTCTGACTTTTATTTAGCTCCCCCCTATCCCGCTTGTTAGTCGGTCCCAGTTACGCGTAAAAATCATTGTCTAGCTGTCTGAAATCTAGCTATCTATGAGCCTTTAATTCCTGTCCTCGTTCGAGGATCTAAGCCAGGTGGTTCTTATGCCTAGGTATCTTCCTCTCCCTTAGGCTCCAGACTCATCACCCGGTTATCCTCTTTCTCATACCCACCCCA